TCTCTCTATGTAATCATGCCCCCACCCACCCCCACCCCCACACCCACACCCACACCCACACCCACACCCACACCCACACCCACACCCACACCCACACCCACACCCACACCCACACCCACACTCCAGTGCATGAGACTTGCAGTTCTCCAAAAAGGACATAGAAAACAATAGTTAGTTTGAATATAAATGTGCGTGTAGATAAATGAAAGACCTACGCCAATGTCTGCATTTAACTCACGATGCACCTATTCTTGTTCGGTTATTACACTCTGAAGGCTAGCAAACTTGAATTTTGCCGCTAAAAACTAGATTTAAATTTGAAAAAAACTGTAGAAAGCATTCTATACATGCTTGAGTCATATTTTCTTCTAAAAATGTTTTGAACAAACAAAAAGGCATACCATGGTGCATTTTGATGATCAAAATCGAAAAAAAAAATTTTCAATTTTTTGATCCATTACGGCCGGCTGTTGCCAAATGGCAACATCTATAATTTTCATTGTTCGGATTTACTGAACAATCCTTTTTATTAATGCAATATGCAATAGATCTAAGCAGCAAAATTTACAGCTAATGGCTTCTAGTATTGAATCAGTCAATCTGCAGGAAAATGTGTTTTACCGTTTAATGGTTTCTATGGGATATTGTAGATAAATTCGGCTATGCTCTCAACGGAAAGTTCCTTTTTGTATTGGAAACCGTGAATATATGCTAAAATGTACTGCAGTAATTATCGAATAGTTAAAAAGTTTTATATCTTTACTATAAGCAAGCCATCCTAGAAATATTGACTTAATGTTACCAAATGGCAACATCCGGCCGGAAAGGGTTAAGTCCCCTCCCCCTAAGAAATGAAATCTCACTTGGGATCCTCTGTTCAGGCTGAAATTTGCAGGGATGACTTGTCTTAGTAAGAAACTCTTGTGATATAAGTTTCAGCTTAACATGTCCGACTAAATCGCACTTTCGACTGCTTTTTCTACCTTTCTGGAGAACCGAAATAACTTGGTCTAGAGAAGGGATACAGAGCTCGAATTGGTATCAAATTGTAGTTAGCCTCTGTACGCAACTTTTCATCCGACGGAATTCGGAAACTTCCTTCCATTCATTTTTTATGAACGCTTTTGTGAATATGCTTGCTAAATAAGCATAAAAAAGTAGTGATTCTACGACAGTAAATCCTACTTTTCTCAGCCCTGGGATTCAATATCAAAACTTCGTCCGATGAAAAGTTAGCTCTAATCAAGACCTTTAAAATAAAAAAATCATGGGTTATATGCCGAGCCAAGTACGAGTTATTTCAATTTTCCTATTTAGAAACCGTGTTTTGAGAAAAATGCTAAAAAGAGTTTACAAGTGGATTTTTTTATTAAAATTCAGAACAAGTCATGTTATAGTGGGATATTCCACTAAACCGTCTTAAAGGGCGTCATTCATGGCGCGAGTTAGCTCCGTCTGAAATGGTGATTAACGTGAAAATGTTCTGTTCAACAATAATGCTATTGGAAGGACAATTTTTCTGTAACTGTCAACCATGAAGTTTTCTACGAAAACATGGTAAATCCCTCCCCATAATAGAAGCCCCTCCAATATTAGAAGCCCCCACTTATTAGAAGCCTCCTTCAGAAGAATCATTGTAAAGGATTTATTAGAAGCCCCCTCATTTTAAAAATTTTTTGCGAATTTTTATTGGAATTTTCATCATAAAACTTTCAAAATTCAAGATCTGAAGCTAAGAATTTCTTTGATTTTCTTATTTACCAGCATAAAAATCTTAAAATCTCCTAGAAAATCCTTTGAACAACTGCTAAGAACCCTGAAATCCCTAAAACCCTTTTAAATTTTTTCCATCTAATAATAATAATAACGATTTAACACGAGTATATAATTTGATAGAAAGAAACAAATTTCTTTCTATCAAATTCAAACAACAATGTCATGGGCTGCTGTAAAATCACTATTATTATTTTCAAAGTTATTTTCCATAAAAACACAGAATTTTTCATTTAAAACTATTGAAAAGTTTTAGGACTTAATAGAAGCCTCCTCCAAAAATTTTGGACGTTAGACATTTTAGAAGCTCCTGGGGGCTTCTATTATGGGAGGGGGTTTAGTGTATTTTAAGTTTCATGCGATAAGTCTTTGAAAATCCGATCGTTTCCCGAAAACCTATATATATTCTGAAAGAGGAAGCTTTGCTGCATCTTTCTATAATAAAAACTCAACTTCGATATTTTCCTTAAAAGTCGATTTTCTGAGGCGGAGAGCCCTTGAGTTCTTTGTTGACAAAAAAGTAAAAGCCTATTAAATATGAGTTTAATTCATTCTGTAATAATCTAATCAGCTGAGAAACGTTAGTGCTGAAAATTACCATGGTTAAATATCTGTTGATATCCTATATACAGAAAAGTTCATTACAGAAATGATCATACCTCGAAATGAAAACTTCATCTCAATACAGTCTCGTAGCCATCTGGATCCAAACATTTTGTATAAATTATTTAAATTTGGCTTAATAGGAGAACACAATGGACGAAAGTCGGATGCAATATTGGAGTCATCAACCAGATAAATATCTTTTGGTGCTGCAACTTGGTAAGACTGTTTAGTATTTTTATTATCATCATTGTAGACAAATCCTAGACACCATGGGTCACTCTGGAGTCTAGTAATCAATTTTTGGTCCTCAATGATGTCTTTATTGAAATGAACATAACGTGCCAGATGTCTAAGACATTCAAGATATGCGCTTATTTTATCTTCATTTGAACGTCTCTGATCTCTAAAGAAACTCGCTTGGCGATCTAACAATAACTTAGCCAGTGATGAACCATTAGGTTCATCCATGACACCAATATTACGAAGAAACGAATTGCCATCAGGTCCGAAATTGGCATAATCAATCAATCCACTTGTATCAATGTCACTCAGCCTTACTGGTAGTTTTGTTGAAGGCGACACCTTATCTGTACAAATAAAGACTTCAGAGGGTTTCTTTAGCTCATTGCTACCTAAAAGTTTTAGTTAAATAAGTATGAAACATAATAATAAGTACAACCTTGAAACGGAATAAACGCTAATTCAGAGGTTTGCTTTTTTAATTCTGTCCCTATACTATCCAAACTATTCATAAACGCAAAAATGGATCGCGTCCATTTGAACGATGTGAGAACTACATTTTTTCTTTCCACGTATATTTCAAAGGCTTCCCTCAATGATGGTTTTTCTTTGAGACCCAATAATGAGAGATCGAAGTAATGCTTAAACAATGTCACTACTTGTGGCAAAGGACAAGCACATAATGGATTGGAATCTAATAAAAAAAATAAAAGTTATAAATGTAATCTAATATTTAAAAAAAGATTCAAACTTTTAAAAATCTTTTCCACAGGCATCAATACTATTCTATTGCTGTTGCGCTTGTCACGTCGACCAGTTGGTTTATCTGGCCATTGAGCTGGAAGGAAAGCTCGTCGATTTGTTTTGTCTTTCCAAAGTTCTGGATAATATTTTTCGACATTTTGGGCCAAGAATTCAAGTGACGGCGGTATGATGTATAACGATGCGCCTTGTTCGAACTGTTGATTCTTAAAATCTTCAGTAATCATATCAATAAGATCATCAAGATTAGGGGCTTCACGTACGCCAAGGGAGGACAGAAAGTGATAAATGCCTGAATCGAGAGAATCAAGAGGCCAAAATATCTTATGTACTGCATTAGATTTAAGTTGATACGCAGCTTGTGAAAAAAGTAACTCGTCAGGACGGAATAGACCAACTATTTTCTTCGATTGAATTGTTGTACCTAGTGGAATGAATAAAATATAGCTAGGACTAGGAAAAAATGATCATGCTGTTCGTTAACTTTTAGTTCAATTTTTAGAAGATTAACAACCGTTCTAAGTTATTATGCATTTACCTGCAAAGCATTGAGTTTGTTTCAATGCTGCGATATCTTCTTCACTCATAGTTTGAAATGAATCAATCAAATACCTAATGAATATTAGACAGTTTTCTTTGATTGACTTTGGTGTTTTGGACAGCGTATTTTGATGAGCGATAAATGATTGTACATGAATTGTTCGACATCCAATTAATCTTAGAAATGCAGCTAAAACATGATCATCTGAATTATTATCCAATTGGATTGTACGGTGACTATTGACTCGAGTTCCATCGATACTAATTTGATTCATATCTGGTATGACATTCATTGTAATTATAGGTGAATCAGATGATAATATTCGTGATGGAATATATGATTCTTTAGGTAGTTTCATACCTTGTTGTGTTGGTATGCATTCAATTTTTGATAATATATCTTTCATTTGATCTTTTTGTAGACTGTCGAATATTATTCCAATGCCTTGAAATTAAATTGAATAGATATACAACTTTATTTTGATCAGTTAAAAGAAATTTTTGATCATCAGGAAAAAAGAAATTTAATAGATCATTAAATGTTAACGGTATTAGTAATAAATGTTTATTAAAATTTTCATTTGAAATATGACTAGCTATTCTAGAAGGTATAACATTCGATGGTAAAGGTAAAAGCGGTGATGGATAAATTTTATCGTAATGTTTGATTCTTTCTAAGGTGATAACTGGTGAATTATCGTTATCGCGAAAATGAATACTTGAAAAGATACTTTCAATAAAATCTTTATTCTTGTTAACTTCAGTACTACATAACCAATGCAATAATTCAATAAATTCATTTAATAAAAGAATACGCGTTTGTATAGTATGCTGGATAACATCAAAGTTGACTTCTTGTATTAATTTAACTAGCTTAAGTTCATTAAACAATCCATTGTTTGAAATTTCAAGTGGAACAAGTGGAAGTGAAAGAAATGAATGGATATACTTTGAGTAAGCAAGAAAAGCTTCTGATGATGGTAAAAGAGTCAATCGTGAAGCTAATGATTGTTGTTTTACAGGTACCAGAACATTTTCGTGGGACGCAAAAACCCATTGAGGAGGGCAAGACCTAAAACAACAAAAGCAAAAAATAGATTTTCCTCATTTCTTTTTTTTGTAGCAAACCAATTTTGTTATTGGGAACCGAAGTTTGAAATGAAAATGTTGCGAATTGAGCAGATAAATTTTGATTCAATTGATCATTATCAAACATTAATTGATCATAAATAAAACGAACTACTTGTCCCATTGCTGCAAGAACTTCTTTATTCCATTTTTCTAAATGTGGATCTTGCATATCTAGATTTTCACGTTCTACTGTAGGAACTAGATGATTAAAGATATGCATTCCAAGGCCTGTTGTTTGATGTGTTCCAAGACCAATGAAGACAAGACCAGATGGAATAATTTGATTTTCATGATAATTAAGAGGTAATAATGAGTTAAGAATTTGAGTTTCAAGTTCGACATTATCCAATGAGATGGATCGTAGTTTAGAAACAATCTGAAAGTAATTGATTGTGACATCTGATAAAATTAAATAAGTTGATAATCTGACTTACATCGCTCGATGTATATAATAATTGAATTCGCATATTCGATGGAAGACTTTTCTTCAAGATTGGTCTAATTTGATTGTGAAATTCTTCATCGATATTTAGTTTTGCATTAACATCAATATGTATCAAAGTCATTGATGGACCGTTGGCAATGGAAAATGTTTGTTCGGTTTGTATGAACGAGTTGAGAAGAAGCATATTAGATATTGATTTTATATTGAATGTCGATGTTTCTTCTGTTAATGAAACGATTTTTTTCTTCTTTTTATTAACTTGAAATACAATTGAACCGTTGATTTTTATCGAAATTTCATTGATGTGAGTTGTAAATGAGAGCACTATACAAAGAAAAAAACACTAACTTTATTAAAAAACCACAGAAAATCTTAAACTTCTAATTGATCTCATCACGTTCTAGAATATTTAATTATATTTGAATAGAATTCTATATCATATCTATCACGAATACAACTATCAGCAAATATAAACCATCATTTAATTGGTTACAAGTGTGGGTATGTGAGTAGGTGTGGATGGCAGGAACACCAACATTCACATTGACCCATACCCCACTGAAATCTCAATTAATTTGAAATTTTTAAATTAGTTACGAGCACACTGAAGTTAGTTTTACTTACCTTTAGTGAAATAAGCTTTCATTTGAGACAAGTTGATTGTTGGTATGACTCCAATTTTAGCTGCACTCGTCATCTTTTCGTTAGTCACTGATTGAGAACAGAGTTCATTGTCTCTGTTGATTTTTTTTCAGCATTAAGAGCATATTTACTTCGCATTTTTAGAATAATCGAAGTCAAATTAGAATGTTCTACGCTGGCTAATTCACAGCGATATGTTGTCAATGAATCATTGCGCCAAGTAAATGCCATACATTGCTCACCTGATACAATGATTGGCTCTTCTGAAAACGAAAAAACTGAAAAAAATCCAACACCAAATTGTCCCACTGATTCAATATTTGTATTGCCCTCTGCAATCGATGCTATCCTTTCCCAATCAGTTTCCGTAAAGATTTCTCCATTATTAACTGCACGAATTTCCGTAATAATGCTATTGTGCAATGTTTCTCTTCTTAAACCATTTGATTCGCATGAAAGTTCGAAGCAAAATGAAGTTGCTTTAGCATCATCAGCATTTTGAATGAGCTCTCGGCAGACAACAAAATCCGACGAATATCGAGCGAGTATTTTATCGATTAACATACGATGATTGACTTTAACGACAAATTCAGAACCATGTTGTTTAGCTTGAGACAGAAGAGTATTCGATGAAGGCATTTGTAATATAAATTTAGAACGATGACTTTCGAATGTGTTTTAACAGATCTAAAACAAAATCAAATCATACAATTTTTCAACATATTAGTTTCAATATTTGTGCACAATCGTCAGTAACATGTAAAAAAGTGTCTGAAAATCGTTGCTTTCTTTTCAGTTCATACATAAGAGTTTTATGATAAATTTGTATAACTTAAGAGTCTTATACGATCATTGTAGCCACTAAGATTGATCAATATTTGCCAAGGTAATGGACATTTATTTATATCCATTTTCATTTTTTGTGGTTGATTCATGCGTTCATTAGTATAATGAAGCGTTTGTGTTGTCACATCAATTAACAGTTCAATGATATCATTTTCACGATTATTATAAGTAGAAAATATATCATTTCCTTTTTTCGCCCATACACCAGCATAATAATGATCTTGAGATACCCAACCATAAGATGATAAAGATTTGTAAGAGTTTTCTTTCATTGAAGTAGTTTTAGAAATAATACCAATGAAGATCCATGTAGAATATTTTTCAATTTTAAATTTCAATCGATGTTTACCTGATGTATATTGGTTTTTACCACGTACTTCTCCACCGTTCATTGATGTACCATGTGAAACAACACAGCCATTGTCTTCTATTCGTATGTCACCAATAGATTGTTCGAAGATTTCATTATGAATAGCTAGGCTCGATTCGAGAGAGAGCCTCGAAGTAGATAGTTGGGGAGAATTGATTTCAATGTTAAAAGAACTATTGGATGGAGATGGGTTATTCACTGGTTGTTTATTGTCATCTATTAAAAGAAAAGTAGTAAGAAAAAAGCGTCATATAATTTAACCGTTGGTTATACTATAATTGGAAAGCATTTTGATTATATCTCAAAAAACGTTTGAAGTCATAGTGAAATGATCTCCTCTAAACATAAAATGATGATTTGTGTCCACCAATGGAAAATCACACTAAAAGAAACGATATAATTTTGTAATATTGTTTAAGTTTTGTTTCAGTCGATAGAATAAACTACGTGTAAAAGAAGTCATCAATGTCAATGTCACATAATCATTAATCAGTGATATAGAAGTTGACATAATACTGAAATTTATATATTTTTACGTTTAGATACAATTTATTGCAACATTTAATAAGGCTTGGTAGGTAGGAATTAATACAAAAAAAATTCAAGGTATCTGAACATGCCTGTTGATTTCTCAGACATCGTAGTTTTGTTTACTTGCACTTCTAATTCTTTTGTTTCTAGTTTGCTTGTAGTATCTTTGATTTTGTCAACGCGAGGTTCCGCGGCAATAACAAAACTGTTCGATTCCTTTTTTTCTTTAACGTCTGTTAGAAAATTAGAAGAAAACTATTAAATAAACATTTGTTAGTTTTTCAAAAGTCCCAATTGATTTTAAAAAAAATAGAACAGTTAGATGTGATATTCTTTTGTATTATATTCTTTTCTATTTCTGATATGGATGTTAAAGATATTGGTGAATGCCATATTTTTTGAAGTTTTCTAACTGAAAGTTTTATTCTACTTGTTAGAAACGTTAGAATCTTTATTGTATAACATTGAATATTACATTGTATCTCTGACATTTAAACACTTAACATCTCTGATCAGCATAATCATTTGACGTTACTCCAAGTTTAAAATAGTTTATCTTCTAATTTTTTGTCTGCTCTCATTAGAAAAAAGATCATACACTGCTTTCTGACGAAATATTTTTTTATATAATACGAAATTCTACTTCCTTTGACTTTCGATGATTAAATATTATTCAGAGAAGAAAAATATGTGTTAACTGTGCTTCAATAGCTCAATAGCGAGAGCACTGGTCATGTTAACCAGTCTTGGTCATGGGATTGATTCCCAGTTGAAGTATATCTTTTCTTATCTGTTTGTTCATCGAAAGTCAAAGGAAGCAAAATTTCGTATCGTATAAAAAAATTACATGCACTCCTTTTCATTTCTTTGAATAGACGAAATTTTTTTAAAATGTTTTTTGAATGTTGTAATGTATGGCTAATTAAGATCTCCAATAATGAAAGTAACTTTTTCAGTAAAATCAATTAGACGCATAAATATTGAAAAAGTTTCTTAACTTTTCTTTTTTCTCTTACTCGAAATCGGTTCAGTGAGATCAGGAGCAGGTAAAAATGGTGATGAAGGATGAGATAATTCAATTTCTTTTAGTTGAATCATGTGAACATTGTCGGCTAGTTTCAGAAGTCCAGTGATTTTGAATTCAGTTCCAGGAAGTAGAAGTATTTCTTCTTCTGATGGAAAAAGACTATGGTTACGAATGTTTTTTCCAGAATGACAATCGATAGCAAAAATTGTTTGTGGGCCCCTTGTGCCATAAAATTGTTCTGATTGTAAAACATCAATTGTAGTAGTACACGAGGAAAAGCTCAGCCATTTCACTGTTTCTTGAGTTCTATACTGATCACTCAAGTCTAGTTTGATTCCTCGATAGGCAACTTGATAAATAGATGGAAGATGTGAAAGTGCAGTATGAAGTAGTTTAATATAGAATAGCCATGGTTTAAGTTGTTGTCTATCTTCTGTCCGTAGAATACGATTCAAAATAGCATATAGAGGTTCATCTTGTAAGTGTTCTTCCATCGAATAGAGTCTGATTGCACCAGACATATCTTTTGTGAGCCCATCTGCAGGTGGATTTGCGCAAAGTTCTATAGCACTTTTTGCATAGTTCTTAATTTTAGGTAACAAAGATATCAATTGTTCTACAGCAATATCAAGCGGTAAAAGTGGCATTTCTTTATAGTCGTTTATTGTTGACACACTGTAAAAAAAAGGTACTTTACCGAATCTTGAAAAAAGGTTTGGTAGATGACGAAAAGCGTGCAAATACGTTTAAAGTTTCAAAAATAGGATAAAAAAATCCACGGAACCTTTAAAGGATCTTAC